TAAGGGGTCCAGTCTGGTCTGAGTGAACTTGATTAACATCTTGTTCACTCCTTATGTTAATAAATATTGAATTAGTAAACTACGAGTATCACCGCTCTATTCCTTCTTCCCATTGGTTCTCAGAAAATAACTATTGTAACTCACGTGCCAAGAAACTCGCTAACACGCTACCTAACAGTTCACTAGGATATGTTATATTCTAATAAAAGTCTGGGTGTGGCAGGTTACCGTTGAAAGTATAATAAGTGTTGTAATAAGAATGACATGGTTCCCCAGACGAATCCATGGTTTAGAATATAATTAAAACAGGGAATAATTTAGAAAGATAAGGATATAGAAATTCAGAAAATGCCATACTATATATGAAAAGAAAGGAAATAAAGAAAAGAATATTGACTTGGAAAATATAAGCAAGAAATATAAGTATATAAATATTGAATAATAATAACTATAATTAAAACAGGATACTTATTGAAGAGAAATATAAGATCTATATTTATACTGTGGAAATAAAGACGCAGCATAGGAAATGATTAAATATATACACCAGAAAAGATTAATATAAGAGATAGACATGAGCATGAACCATGCGGCGGTCGACAGAATTAAGAAGAAAACCCAGAAATTCAAGACGTGGGTTGGATCAAATGATGAGCAGGACAGGAGGATGTTTGCAAGAGCCAGAAACCAAGCAAAGATAGAGTGTAGAAGGGCTGAAAAGGAGTTCCAGAGGCTGGTTGCAAGCGAGGTCAAGTCAAACCCAAAGGGGTTTTACCGCTATGCAAAGTCAAAATTGAAAACGCGAGTAGGAGTATCAGACCTGAGGCTTGAAGATGGTAGTTACGCAGATTCTGACCAGGCTAAAGCTGAGGCATTGAACAGCTTCTTTTCCTCGGTGTTCACAAGAGAGGATGCAATTAATCTTCCTGCGTTTAAGGACAGGCGGTTCGACACAGCACTGACCCACATTGTGTTCACAGAAGAGGGTATTAGAAATAAACTGTCAAAGCTAAAGGTCCATAAGAGTCCCGGCCCTGACATGGTGCATCCTAGAGTGCTAAGAGAGTTGTGCAACGAGCTTGCCGAGCCCCTGAAGATCCTGTTTTGTAAATGCCTAGATGAACAAAAGGTCCCCAGTGAATGGAAAGTGGCTTATGTGAATCCTATCTTCAAGAAGGGCGATCGTCACTCCACGAACAACTATAGACCGGTGAGCCTGACCAGCATAATATGTAAAATACTTGAGAGTATTATCAGAGATGCCGCAATGGAACATCTACTACGGAACAACCTTGTAAAAGATTGCCAACATGGTTTTATGCCGGTGCGCTCCAGCTTAACACAATTGCTCAAGGTATTGGATATTTGGACCCATATTCTGGAACAGGGTGGTAATATCGACAATATTTACCTAGATTTTGCCAAGGCTTTCGACAGTGTACCCAATGAAAGGCTGAAAATCAAACTGGAAGGGTACGGAATACGGGGAAATGTCCTAGCATGGATAGAAGACTTTCTACATGACAGCCAGCAGTGTGTGGTGATTAATGGCACGAAATCGTCATCCGTACCTATCACAAGTGGGGTACCACAGGGCAGTGTATTGGGCCCGCTGTTGTTTGTTTGTTTCATAAATGACATGCCTGACGTTGTACACTCCTCCATACAAATGTTTGCCGATGACGCCAAGTTATTTCGGGAAATCAAGAACCAAGCAGACTGTAAAGAGCTGTAGAAGGACCTCTGTGGGCTCCAAGAATGGTCGAAGAAATGGCTGCAGAGATTCAATGTCACGAAGTGTAAGGGGATGCACCCGGGGGCGTACCAACGGTAAGGAGGCGTATCATATGTCCCAATGGGATGAAGAAACTGCACTAGTTGAGAATGAATGTGAGAAGGACCTGGGTGTGTATGTTGACAATGAGCTGAAGTTCTCGGGCCATTGCAAGAAGAAGGTAAATCAGGCAAATAAATTATTGGGTCTTATAAGATGGTCGTCCCTAGAAGTGATCTTCAAGAGTGAAGTGCTTCCCCATCTGGAGTACTGTCACCCCGTCTGGTCTCCGAGATATGCTAGGGACTGTCAGTTGATTGAAAATGTTCAAAGGAAGGCCACCAGACTGGTGCCTGCACTTTGGCACCTCAGCTACCCTGAGAGATTGGAGCGCCTGAACTTGCCTAGCTTATACTACATACGGGCAAGGGGTGACCTAGTTGAGGTGTAAAAGCATCTCAAGGTGCACTACTCAGTAGAGTGTCCTTACTTGGAGCTGGAGGACGCTCGCCCCGCAAGGGGTCACAGCTCAAGATTGAAGAAGCCGCAAGTCCAGAAAACTGTGAGGGCAAACTTTTTCAGAGTGAGGGTTGTAAACTCTTGGAACAATCTACCAGAAAGTGGTGTGACGGCACTGAGTGTGAGCTCTTTCAAGACAAGACTTGACCAACACTGGAGCGGGTTCAGTTACATTCAGGAGTCGGTGCATGCCCAGTACTTGCCAACAGTGCGTGACAGAGACGTGACCGATCGCCCAGGCGGCTAACGAGCCGATCAGTGTTGAAGAGGATAAAAGTGAAAGTAAAAGTACATAATCTTCGAAAGAAAATATACTGAAATACGTGGTTATTTGTTACAAGACTGCTTGCGGTCATGTAGAAAGTCTTTTATCTACGCGAGGACATTTCCCAGAATTCCGTACCCTTTCAGTTTAATTTTCAGCCTTTCATGGGGTTACACTGTCTAAAGTCTTGGCACCCTGTTCCAGAATATGGGTCCAAATATTCAGTACCTTGAGTAATTGTGTTAAGCAGGAGCACCCCGGCGTAAAACCTTGACCTAAGGTCCAACCGCAGTGAGCCACCCAGGACTACCAAGTACTGTCCGAGCAAAACAATGTTTTGAACACCAAACACAACTACAGAAGGCTTAAGAATGAACAAGCACAACATCAAGATTGGAACAGGGAATGTAAGGACATTGTAGGGGTATCGAAATATTAATGTTGTCTAGCACTCAGGATGGAAGGAAACTCTAATGTGGTTTTCTTGTATAATATAAGTTATATGAAAGACAGTCTGGTGCTGGAGGTGCAGAATGAGAGTTGGTTGGTGAGGAAGCTCAGAGGACAGCTGGTGGGTCGCCATGCTCGCTGGCGGGAGCGAGGACCGCCAGGCAGGCGAGGAGGAGCGAAGGCTGCCAGGCAGCGGCTGAGGAGGAGGTGTTGCTTGTTCAAGATGAATGGTCAGAATGAATCTCAATGGAGAGACAGAGCTTATATACCCAGCAGCCGCTATGAGTCATGTTGGGAAAACCCGAGAAGTCGCAGGTCTTTTGGCTCGGTTGCTAGGATACGGCGACATTGGAATGCGGATACGCTTGGTTGCTAGGGAAGACAGTAACAGGTGGTGGCGTGGCTACGCAGTTGTAAGCAGTTGTAGGGTAGACGTCCACTACAATACTCCCCCTCCCCTCCAGGCGGTGTAGGAGACTTGTTGATTGTAGAGTTGCTTAGCACATGTGAGGCAGACCGGGCGGTGCATGCCTCATGTGAGACAACGGCGATGGCGTGATGAGCCGATCGCTGAAATACAACTGTCTAGATACACACTATCTGTGGGGGAAGGGAGAAAAAGGGTGTGTGGAGGCGATGAATGTTGTGCTTCCCTCACGACAGGTACAGGGTAGTCAGATGCGCCTGCTGGGGTGTGTGTGGGCCTGGGTCAGGAGCAGGGGCTGCGTCAGCAGAAGCGGATTAGGGCTCGTGACAGCAGCTGGGTCCACGACAGCAGCAGGGTGCAGGACATTAGCAGGGAGTACCTGAGGGAGAAAAGACGGGGTGTGGAGGCGATGGATGTTGTGTGCTTCCCTCACGGCAGGTACTGAGTCGTCAGATGCGCCTGCTGGGGTGTGTGTGGGCCTGGAGGGTGAGGCGTGTGATGTGCTGTTTGATAGTGGTGAATGCCTTAGTAGCCTCTTGAGTCCACATGAGAGACTTGTGAGACTTCTTTGGACGTCCCTTGAGAAGGTCGTGTAGGGGGGCTAGGACGGTGGCAGCTTTGTCAATGAAGCGGTGGTAGTAGTTGACTAAACCCAGGAACTCTCGGAGTTTCTTCGCCGTTTCAGGTTTGGGGAATTCCCTAATCGCGGTTATCTTCTGTGGTAGGGTTGTATGCCACTGGGCGAGACTCTGTGACCGAGGAAATCGATGGCCGAGGTTCCAAAGACGCACTTAGCAGGATGAACTTTCATGTTGTTGTTCTGCAGGCGTTGGAGAAGGAGTTGTAGGTGGTGGCGGTGCTCGGCAGGCGTCGAAGATGCGACGAGGATGTCGTTAATGTAGACGGTGACTAGTTCCGTTGCTAAGATACGGCGGGCATTGGATTGCGGATACGCTTGGTTGCTAGGGAAGACGGTAACAGGTGGTGGCGTGGCTACGCAGTTGTAAGCAGTTGTAGGGGAGACGTCCACTACAACATTATATTAGGCTGATTATTATACAAATGTTTGTAAGGAGATAAAATGATTGTAGTGGAACATTCTGGCATTAGGTGAAATAAGATGGACAGGTTCAAATAACATTAGTGGTGAAGATGTTTACTTCATACATTCAGTTGGAGAAAAACACACACACACACACATACACACATACACACACACACACACACACATATATATATATATATATATATATATATATATATATATATATATATATATATATATATATATATATATATATATATATATATATATATATATATATATATATATATATATATATATATATATATATATATATATATATATATATATATATATATATATATATATATATATATATATATATATATATATATATATATATATATATATATATATATATATATATATATATATATATATATATATATATATATACACCTTGGAAACTTTGAGACAAAAAGGTAATTTTTGAGGGCTCATCTAGGGAAGTTTGGCAGAAGAGGACTCAGAGGAACTGGCAACACTGGGTGTGACTGGAAGTTGAGAGAAGAACTGGCACAATGGCCACAACAACAAACGCTGCAGGCTGCTCTTCGTCTTCTGTTTTACCTCCATAACATATAATGGTATCACCCTACATATCGATAAGGTATATATACACTGACATCAGTAATGAATTATTGAATAGATGAAGTATTGGTAAATGTATAATACAGTAAGTATCAGAAATAATGGGTCAAACCTAGTTGCTAGTTGAAGCCATTTAGGGAAACTAATGAAATTATTTTATCAAGTTGTATTTTCTGTCTCTTGTTGATAAGATTCATGTGTGTTTATATACTATGTGATGTAACACTGGGTAATGTGTCCATTGATAACAAGAAAAGTGCTCGTGTGACCCAGGAGATGAACAATATGGGCCCTCTGAGGGGGAAAGGCAAACATCTCATGAGCAATGTTAGAGGAGCAAGGAAATGTCAGTATGAAAATAATGTAAATAGTCACAGAAGTAAAAATAAAGGTAAATTTGCACTTCCACCTCCCACTCTGTTAGAAAGTCAAAAATATATTTTTCTAGTGTATTTGTGTGTGTTTAGACCGAATATGACCTTCATTTCTGGTAAAAATTAGTGTTTTTTTTCGAATTTTTTTCGTTGGACGTTTTCTGGAAAAAAATCATGGCAAAATACACCAAAAAACACTAGAAAAACCAAAACCAAACCTAACCTAACCTAACCTAACATAACTGACTCTCACCATATGATGGAATCACCTATTTCTTACCTTATTGGCCTGGTTCTTGTTCATCGTTGGATTCTGAGATTGTTACACACCGTCTTTGCAATATTTACATTCTGTCTTGCTCTTAGTACACTTTTCTGAGGTTGGAAGAACACCATGCGATCGAAAAAATACTATAGTTTCTTCGTCTTTTTCCAAAAAACTAGCAATCGGCTCCATATAACTTAAGTGACACCCATCGCAGACTGCCATGGTCGGAACTGAAGTTACTGAACTTGAATTTCGAAATATAAGAAACCCAAAATAAAACTCGAATTTGATTGGGCCAAATATACCGCGAATTAAACCCCAAATCATTTTAATTGGTTGAAAAACAAAAACGCTTTTGATTCGCCGTGTGACGTGTACGGGAACGCATGCGCGTGATGATTTATGAAGGAGATGCAGGAGACACGCAGTGTTGGAGGTGAGGCAGGCGATAATGTCGGAAGATTAATGGAAGAAAATAGATAAAATTTTGGATAAGCTATCTCCGTTATTATACATTTCCGCCGGTAATGTAATCGATGAAAATTATCCTATAATTAGACTTCATATTCGAATATGATAATAGACTAGTGGTAGGAATGAACGGTGTGTAAATGCAATAATACCGATTTTTTTTTCGTGGAACGTTTTTCAAAAAAAATTAATGGCCAAGCGAATAAAAAATACACCAAAACACACTAGAAAAGCAAAAACCAAACCTAACCTAATCTAACCTAACTGACTCTCACCATATGATGGAATCACCTATTTCTTACCTTATTGGACTGGTTCTTGTTCGTCGTTGGATTCTGAGATTCTTACACAACGCCACATATGTTGTACTTTGCGGTATTTACATTCAGCCTTGCACTTAAGACACTTTACTGAGGTTGGAAGAACACCATGCGATCGAAAAAATTCTATAGTTTCTTTGTTTTTTCCCCAAAACTCTCAATCAGCTCCATATAATTGAAGTGACACCCATTGCAGACTTCCATGGTTGGAAATGAAGTTGAATTCCGAAATATGAGACCCAAAATAAAAATCGATTTTGATTGGGCCAAAAATAAAGCGCATTAAACCACAAATCATTTTAATCGGTTGGGGAAAAAAACACTTTGGGTTGGTCGCTTGACGTATACGGGGACGCCTGCACGTGATGATTAATCAAGGTGACACGCAGGAGACACGCAGTGTGAGAGGTGAGGTAGGTGATAATGGCGGAAGATTAATGGAAGAAAATAGAGAACATTTTGGATATGCCATCTCCGTTATTATACATTTGCGACGGTAATGTAATAGATGAAAATGATCTTATAATTAGACGTCTTATTAGAATATGATAATAGATTAGTGGTAGGAATGTGGATTGTTTAAACGCAAAAATACCAAAATAAAAGTTTTCAAAGGTGTACGTATGCAAAATACAAATAAGAAAAAGGTTAATATTTAGAAGTTGGGTAAATTTTTACAAGTGGACAACCATGTATTTTTCCGATGGTTTAGACAATGTTAAGACACTTTTCTTCTATGACGTTTCGGTAAATTTTTACTTTAGGACATAAGTCCCTTGGGGTTGACCAATATGTTTTCCCAGTGTATATTGGTGTGTTATAAACAAATCACCTTCATTTTTGGCGGAAATTGCTAGTTTTGCCCCCCAACTCCCCCATCAATAATGGGGGAGAGCCTGAGAAATCGGGGTTTTTTGGATGAGGGAGAAAACGAAAAAGAGTCATCTGACCTAACAAAACCTAACCTAACTCCTAGCCGGGACTCTGCTCCCAGACTCCCGGTAAGCCTAACCTGACCCCTAGCCGGGGGCAGTAGGCCTAGCTTAAACTGACCTAAATGTTTCAGTAGTTAAAAACTTTGGAGCACGCCATGTCCAAACTACAATACCTTAGTTAGAACTGGAAGGACCAGGGATACATAAGAATTGGATAGAATGATCGTCTCTCGTAAAACTTGGCAATAAACTTAAAATAATCGTAGGAGCACAAACGAGAACTAACCTCCACCAAGGCCATTGTGAGACTGGTCGATGAAATTACTCAAGCTGCATTCTTTGAAAAAATCAGATGTGATTGGTTGAAAAAAATTCGCGTGAAGATATCGATACCTCATTGGTTATGACTGGACGACGTCGGTCAACATTGAGCATGCTTGATGTGCCGATAGCATCTCTTCACAGACAAGGACTGAAAACTATTAAAATCAGTTGAATTCAATTGTGTCGCTATTATCTATTTCCGCCTGTTATACAGTATATGGGATTCAAAATGGTCAGAATCGCGAGATGTAAATGTTTCAGTAGTTTATAACTTTCTGGGGCATTATGTCCGTGAGTAAAATAATACCGACTTTTCCCTCACAAGTGACTTAAATATTCCAGGGGACCTGGGGGGGGGGGCCATGGTTAGGAAGTTAGGTTAAGTAATTTTAAATCATTTGCGAGGGAAACGTCATAGAACAAAAGTCTAAGCCATCGGAAGAACACATTGATCAACAAAAAATCCATGCCTGTCCACTTGTAAAAATTTACCAGAAGTTGCCACTACCTAATGGAATATTAAGTCATATGAGGAGATAGAAAAAATATAAATAATTTATTCTAACATTTCTGTCTGAAATTTTTAGTTTTGGAGTTATTTTAACTTTTATTTTATAATATTTGGCCGACAAAACATTGTAAAAACCTAACCTACATAATCTAACCTAACCCTGGCCTAGTGTGTAAGAAATTTACCTTCAGTAAGAGATACAGGAGGATAGAGTGATGTGACTTGAATGAGGAAGTGGTGTATTGTCTGTTTCTTATCACAGTACCATGCATGGTGATCTACAAGGTACTAACACTGAACTACATCTTGGATACTTTACAGATGAAACAAGAGCACTCTGAACCCTAAAAATGACATTGGCTGTTGCTTCATTACCCAAAATACTGTATGCAGGAATAATGCACCAGCCAGCCAATGTACATCCATCTCACATAGACGCCATCTTCCAACTGCCTGTGAATGCTGATTAGCACACGAGTATTACGTCACATTAACATTCACTCTGATTGGCCAAATATTATCCTTTTTCCTTTTTTCCCCCTTTTATCCTCTTCACTGATCAGCTCGTTAGCCATTTGGGCAACTACTGAGCATGCACTGGCTCCTGAATATATATGAACCTGCTCCAGTGTTGGTCAAGTCTGGTCTTGAAAGAGCTCACACTCGTTGTCGTCACAACACTCTCTGGCAGATTGTGCCAAGAGTTTACAACTCTCACTCCGAAAAAGTTACCCCTCACAATTTTCTGATCCACGCTAGAACATTTCCCCGAATTCCATACCCTTCCAGTTTAATTTTCAGCCTTTTCATTGGGTATACTGTTGAAAGCCTTGGCAAAATCTAGGTATAAATTGTCAATATTACCCCCCCTGTTCCAGAATTTGCGACCAAATATCCAGTACCTTGAGTAATAGTGTTAAGCATAAAACCGTGTTGGCAATCCTTTACAAGGTTGTTTCGTAGTAGATGTTCCATCGTGGCATCTCTTATAAAGCTCTCAATTACTTTACATATTATGCTGCTCAGGCTCACCAGTCTATAGTTATTCGTGGAGTGACGATCGCCCTTCTTGAAGTTAGGACTCTCATAAGCCATTTTCCAGTCACTGGGGACCTTTTGCTCATCTAGGCATTTACAGAACAGGATCTTCAGGGGCTCAGCAAGTTTGTTGCAGAACTCACTTAGCACTCTAGGATGTACCATGTCAGGGTCGGGACACTTATGAACCTTTAGCTTTGACAGTTTATTTCTTTTAACCTCTTCTGTGAACACAATGTGAGTCAGTGCTGTGTTGAACCGTCTGTCCTCAAATGCAGGAAGGTTGTTCGTATCCTCTCATGTTAACACTGAGGAAAAGAAACTGTTCATTGCCTCAGCTTTGTCCTGGTCAGAATCTACATAACTACCATCTTCAAGCCTCGGGTCCGATACTCCTACTCGCGTTTTTAATTTTGACTTTGCATAGCGGTAAAACGCCACTTGGTCTAACACGACCTTGCTTGCAATCCGCCTATGGGACTCTTTTCAACCCATTTACACTCTGACTATGCTAGGTTCCTGGCATTTGGATACATCCTCCTGTCCTGCTCATTGTTTGACCTAACCCACGTCTTGAATTTCTGGGTTTTCTTCTTATCTTTGTTGACTGCTGCAGGGTTCATGTGCGGGGGTCTCCTTGTATTCCTGGAGGCACTGGGTTTGGTCTTGGGTATATATTTCTCGATCAAATAGTTCACTTTACTTGTTATGATATTCAGCATATTGTCTGCATTCTTATACCTTAGTGAGTCAGGCCAGTGGATACTCCTCATCCCGTCATAATTTCCCTTGTAATATTTGCACCTTGGCCTCGTTTTTTCATTAACTAAGTAACAGTTAAATCTGATGGACAACATTACATGGTTGCTGGTGCCAACTGGGGCAAGGTGTTCCAGTTTGGCCACCATACCCTCCTTGTTTGTTATGATGAGGTCTAGTGGCTTGGGTGTTTGCTCCTCTCTATAATGCATCGGGTCCTTAACATGTTGGAACAGAAAAATATCTCGGATTATCTACAAAAAGAGCAGCGGGGTTATTTAAGAAATTTGGCGTGAATTCTTTCTCCAGTTGATGTCGCCATAGTTAAAGTCCCCCATGATAAGGGGGTGGCTTGGGTTGAGCATCGCCGCATAGTCTATTAAGGCTCTTAAGTACCTTGATTTGTTAAGCTACAGTTTGGGGATCTGTAGATACACCCGACAATAAGTAAGTCTCCCCCCTCTTTAATTTAATTTTACACCACTTTCTTCAAAAACATCCTCTCCCTGTACCCTCGCCTGGCTGGCTCTAAGGTCTTGTCTAGCATAGAAAACCACACCCCTCTTGCAAGTTTCTTGAGAAAGATTCGGAAATAAGTGAATCCGTTAATACTGAACTCACATTCCTTGGGTCGATTCTCCTTTTCTTGTACAACAGTTCTACAACTCCTACTATGTTGGGTTGGTGTACCTTCAGTAGTGTTTCAAACTCCTCTCTCTTATCAAGGAACATATCAGTATTAGTGTACAGTAATATTCTCCAATACGTATTGCAGTGTAAGGTGAATCATCGTACAGTATCATGCGTGAAAACAAAAGGCCCGCCAAGCTGCGACTGTTTATACTAGTGATGCTGGCATCAGCACTAACAAGCCCGGCAGCCTCTGTGTGTAAGGCATTTTTTTTTTTTTTTTTAATATACAGTTAACCCTCACTTTACGCGGTCCCGCTTTCCACGTTTACGCGGTGCCTTGCCAGAACCTAACGTGCTCACATTACGCGGAGAATGTCCGGCGCGACGCTATTTTTAGATTCGCCCCACCCGCCTGCCTGCCTGTGCTCCTCGCCTCTCCCTCCTCCTCCCTCCGCTTGGGCAAGCCACGCGGTAAGGTTGCGCAGTGTGTGTCTTTGTTGCGTTATCACTGACGTCATATGACGTATCGGACTGTGATTGGCCATGCGTCCCTACCCCCCTCTGCTGCTAGCTGTAATTGGCTTAAAGTATTATGACGTGTCCACCCGGGGGAGAGAGGGAGGAAAGACGACGCTTGACCTAGCCGCGGCAGTTTCATCCCTCAAGGCCACACCGTGTAAACGTGCATCCATTGTTCCGTAAAATGGCTTCCGCCGGACCACCACCCCCAGAGAGAAACCTTTCCTTACCTGGACCCAGCGGCACTAAGCCAAAGAAGACACGACGTTCTTTAAGCTACGAGGTGAAGTATACCATCATCCAAGAGTTGGAGAAAGGAACAAGGCAGGTTGATTTGGCACGCCAGCATGGTGTGAATGAATCTATGATTCGAACAATAAAGAAGGATGCAGCCAAGATAAAGGAGCACATGAAGATCACAAAGTCTACAGGTGCTTCTATGGTCAAGTATTTTCACAACCAGGTGCTTCTTAAGACAGAAAAATTACTTGTGAGGTACTTGGTGCGTCAGGCGCGACGGAACATGGCGGTCGACACGCGCTCTGTTAAGGACTACGCACGTGAACTGTACATGGCAGTAGTACGAAAGATGGGAATTACAGAGCCCAAACCCTTTAATGCTTCCTCTGGGTGGTTACAGAGGTTTAAGATCCGGAACAAGATCACCAATATAAACATTGGTGGTGAAGAAGCGAGTGCTGACCGTGCTGCGGCTAGGGAATTTCCTCCGTTTTTACGTAAGATTATGGAGGAAGGACAGTACAGTGACGACCAGGTGTTTAACATGGACGAATCTGGTCTTTTCTGGAAAAAGCTACCTTCCAAGTCCTTCGTTGTAAAGAATGCCAGCAGGATTCGGGGCCGGAAGATGCGGAAGGAACTCATCACCGTCCTGTTTACCACCAATGCCTCCGGTACCTGTAAGCTCAAGTTATCGGTGATCCACACAGCCCGCAAGCTGCACGCCTACAAGAGCATGGACATGACCAAGCTAAATGTCCACTGGCTGACAGCACGTAAGGCGTGGATGTTCTCTACACTGTCCCTCTCCTGGTTTGATGACTGTTTTGTTCCCGATGTTGAATGGCGCGCGATTTGAATGTACTTCAATTACTTCATTGTACAGAATATACCTCCGGCGGGGCAATCCGTGTATTATAAACCCGCGTATGTTAAGGGCCGACTGTATAACTGTACTAAATATTGTAAGTAGAAGAGCACCTGTATATTCTAAGATGGGAGGAGGGCTTATCTCAGAAACTATTGATTTACACCACAAATGAAGGTCAAATTCATTCATAACACATCAGAAAAACATAGTTTCAACTTCAAGTTCGTATAGTAACAACAAGTGAAATTTTAACGTTATTTTGGCAAGTTTAAGGAGATTTTCTTTCATGTAATGATATATTACTTATGTAAGAATTTTGGGATAACATTTAGAAATTGCCACCAGCTCACTGAATATTGAGTCATATATGGGGAGATAGAGAAGAAAAAATAATAAATTCTATAACTTTTCTGTCAAAAATTTATAGTTTTCAAGTTAATTTAATTAATATGGCATCACAAAAATTTTGATCAAGTCCCAGGCTGCTGATCTGAATTTCTGCATCATTTACACACAATTGTTTCTCTTACTTTGTCAACACAACATACAGTATATTGCAGTGGCTCTTAACCGGGGGGTGGGGGGTGAACCCAGAGCAAAAATAAGGAATGGCCTTAACAGGTGTGTGTCCATATTCGGATTTTTGTGGGGAGGGCAGGGTGGGGGTCTTGCTCCCCACATTTACTTCAAAATGTCGTAAATGGTAACTACATCAATCAAAATGTAAAATGCCACTAAAAGTGACTGAATTAAGGTAGTAATAATGTCGAGAAGTGTACGACAATTTGATGAAGAAACGGTAATTTTGAGGCTCCGGTACGATAATTCACATTTGAAAACTTGTCAACACTGACTGCGACCGCTGCTTATACAGACTCTTTTGAGTAATAAAAGTTATTAAAATAACTAATGAAAAACTAATTTCTCAATTTTCCTATTTAATTCAAAAGGAAATTGTTTTAGAATTTTTAGATTTAGAATTTTATATGAAGGAAGGAACAGGGGGGGGAGGGTGGAGATGAGGACCAATGGGGTGCGACTCTAAAAGGTTAAGAACCGCTGGTATATTGTTTCTCACTGTTGATCTTTTTTTTATGGTCCTTTTCTATTAAAATTATAATTATTATATATTATATTACACTTTTATTTAATATTAAAGACAAATATATATTAATTATTATTATTATACTTTCACCCCCAGGCCCTGATGTACGATATTGACCTGTGGAAACTGTACTACAGTATACAGTCTCTCCTCGACTTACTCCGTCCCAACGACCAGGCCGTAAGTCGAAAATGCAAAAATAATACATAGAAATTCTAAAATGAAATGCAGTACAGTAAAAGTAATCAATAATGAGAAATTAATGAAGTGTCAGCTGAATGCACAAGGGGGCCTCAATTATTTTTTAATTAAGCATGGAGACTACATTAATTGGATGAAGCAGAGGAGGAGACAGGGCTGGGTGGGTCATCAATTTCACTTTCTTCAGACAGGCTAACATAGTACTTGCTTGTTGAAGGTATGGATCATCTTTAGGGAGTGAAGAGGCAGCAGTAGGGGAACTTCTTAAAATACATGTCTAATTTACACTGCACTGTTTGCCTTTTCATTTCATTGTAAATCTCCCTGTAGCAAGCAAGTGCATCTTGGATCAGTTTGTTAACTTTTGCAAAATGGTTAGCATTGTAATCCATTTCATCAAACATTTGCATCCCCTTATTAATAATAGCAAATGCCTCTCCCCTTTGTTTCACTGAAAACTTTTTGGGGGGTGTAGGTTCTTCTACATTTTGTCTCTCTTCTTCCTCTGCAATTTTCTGTGCATCCAGTTCAATAAGATCCTCATTACTTAGCTCTTCTGCTACACTTTCCACCAACTGCTCAACATCTTCATTATCAATTTCTAACTCCAGCTGTTGACCCATCTGCGCTATCTTGTTACTAATCTCAGAAATTGCTTCATCTTCATTAAATCCTTTGAAATTGTTCACATATCTTTTCAGGACTTTCTTCCATATTCCATTCATGCACTGACCTGTAACCTCATCCCATGCTGCAGCTATGTTCTTTATACATTGCAAAATGTTGTAGTCCTTCCAAAACTCTGAGCGTTTTCTCACCTTCAGTAGCAGCAATAGCCTGAGCGAAGGTCGTACGTAAATAATACGCTTTAAAAGCAGCAATAGCACCTTGATCCATGGGTTGGATGATAGAGGTAGTGTTAGGTGAAATGTAGACTACCTTAACATCAGGGTGCAGGTCGTCCAGGTGTGGTGGGTGTCCCGGACAATACTCCTTGGCTCGTGGAATGAAACAACTCGGGAACCAATCCTCAAACAGTGCTAGGTCATTCATGCTTTCTTATTACTGCGATAAAACACTGGCAGTGTGTGCTTACTGACATTTTTAAAAGCCCTTTGGTTCTCTGAATGATATATCATGAAACCAGCTACATCCCCCCCCCAACAGAAGTGTGATTCGGTCCTTGAATCCCGGCTTGGTTTTCGCCTCTTTGTGCATATATGTCCGTTCTGACATGCGCTTCCACAATAAGCCAGTTTCATCCACATTAAATATTTGCTCAGGAAAATAATTTCTCTCCACGATGACATGATCTAGTTCCTCCTTTAATAGCTTTGGCAGCACCCACATCAGCACTTGCTGCCTCTCCACTCACCTTTACACTGTGCAAACTGTAACGTTTCTTAAACCTTTGGTACCACCCATGACTTGCTGTGAAGTTTTGGTCTCGCTCATCTGCCTGCTCTTTCAAACTTTCGAAAAGACTACTTGCCTTAGTCTGTATTGTTAGAAGGCTTAAGGGTACAGGCTTTAGCAGCTGATCTTCCATCCACACCACAAGTAATTTTTCCATCTCATGAAGAGGACCTTGTCTTTTTTTTCGTTGTTATTGTTCCCTTTATAGATGCTGATAGCTTCACTACCTCACGAATTCGTTCCTTGTCCTTCAAAATTGTTTATATCGTCGAGTGAGAGAAGCCAAGGTCGTGTGAAATGGTTACTACTGTTTTTCCATTTTCATATTATATCTTCATTTTCATCTCAAAAGTAATTGACTCTCCTTTTCTTCTCAGCACCATGAGAACTCTCACTTTTACGCTTGCCAGCCATTTTAAAAGGAATTACAAACAAAAATTTTGTCGGTACACAGCGCGATCACTAACAACAACGACGGACAAACACCAACTGAGCGGGCTACGGGGTGGATGCTGTACACCACGAGGCGGCCCAGCCCACGTCGCACGGGACGGAAACGTTTCATTACTAGAAAATACATAATGTAATTTGAAAAGTATTTTATACGACCACGGCGGTCGTATGTCCGGGTTGTCGTAAGTCGAGGAGGGACTGTATTTAAATTTATTTTATGTGAGCGTCACATAATCTGCTTTTTTACCAATCAGGACAGTTCATATTTCTGGTAGATTTACACATGTGCCAAAATATCATCTATGAGTACAGTACAGGTTGACAACCCTTTATCCGAAATTCCAAAAACAGAAAAGCTCTGAAAACCGAAAGTTTTTTTGTGGAGCAATTTTTTTTTTTTTTTTTTTTTTGTAACAGCCCACAGGTCACTGACCCACATCGGGGCCTGGGGGGTGAAAATGTAATAGTAATAATAATTATAATAATAATGATAATACAGTAAATAATAATTATTCATAGTAAATAAAAATTTTAATAAAAAATACACAAAAATAAAATAAGAATGATAACAATAATGATAATAACAATAATACTGTAATAATAAAATAATAATAATAATAATAAAGAAATACAAGAATGAAAAAGATCAAAAGTGAGAAACACGACCTAGACCTATGAATTATTATTATTATTATTATTATTATTATTATTATTATATTTTAGCCCCCAGGCCCCAATGTGGGTCAGTGACCTGTGCCCAGGTGGGCTGATCCCTGTATATAAAAAAAAAAAAAAAAACTAACCATTCTGAAAACCGAAATGCATCTGGTCCCAAGAATTTCGGATCAGGGATTGTCAACCTGTACTGTATTCATTCATGATTGGCTCCCTCATGACCTTAACCCCAGAAACACATGAAGACAAGAAGAGAATCACTTTTACTGGGGTAACGGAAAAAATTGGTGAATTATTGAAATAGAACTTTTTGTACTTTAGGAAAGGTTAGGTTAGGTTTTCAATGTTTTTTTTGTGTATAAAACCCACATTTTTCCTCATCTTCAAAGCTCTGCCCCTTTGTCCAAATCATTGTTGTATCTCCTTAAATAAGCATTAGTGATGAAAGTAAAGGTTATATTATACTTTCAAATTTATATGAAAAACATAAAACTTCTTTTTATTAAATTCTCATTATGGCACAAAATAGCAAGAAAAAACTTGGATCACCTGAAGAGTCTCCAGCCCAGCTTATTTCACCCTAACTAACACTACTGTATTTGGGAGGTTAGCATTAGGTGAGTTTGTTTCAGCTTTAACATGACTTACTGTGTAGGCTGTTACTTTACATTTGTGATAATATTCCTTGTTTTTTATACTGTTCTTGTTTTTCAGTATTTTATATAAATTTTGTCAGGGTTGGCTGATTTAAATAAGGGTTTAAACCAAACAAAAACAATTTTGTTTTAATCTATGTTTTTTCTCGTTTTTAATAAGTCATGTATTGGTTTTTACTACTTACAGATGGTTTAAATGATTTCTCGTAGATTTGTTTTATAAGTACGGCATACACGTAGCATGTGTTCCAACTTGAGTACAAATCCAACTTAAGAATGTCCTCAGGAACAGAACCAGTTCATAACCCGGGGGCCCCCTGTAATATTTGGAGTGTTGTAGTGGACTTCTCCCCTACAACTGCCTACAACTGCGTAGCAGCTCACCACCTGCTATCGCATTCCAATGTGCCGCCTTCCCTAGCAACCAACCAGATGTTACCGTATCTTAGCAACGAAACTATTCACCGGCTACTTCTCGGGTTTTCCCACCATGACTCATAGCGGCTGCTGCGGGGTATATAAGCTCTGTCTCTCCCTTGAGATTCAGTCTGACCAATCTTCTTGAACAAGCAACACCTCCTCCTCTGCCGCTGCCTGGCGACCCTCGCCTCTCCTCCGCCTGCCTGGCGGTCCTCGCTCCCGCCAGCGAGCATGTCCTTCTCTGAGCTTCCTCACCAACCAACTCTCATTCTGCCCATTTTCCTGAACAAGCAACATCTCCTCCAGCAAGCTCCACGCTGTTAACATTTCATTCAACCAGGAATCCAGCAACAGGCAACATCTTCTCTAACGAAGCTCCTGCACATCTACCTCCTTCAACAAGCTACTCACCGCACGTCTCTACCAAGCAGCCCCTCACCACACAGCACCTCCAGCACCAGACTGTCTATCATATAACTTATATATTATACAAGAAAACCACATTAGAGTTTCCTTCCATCCTGAGTGCTAGACAACATTAATATCTCGATACCCCTACAATGTCATTGGGACAATTAATTATACAGATATCAAATTGCAGACAACAGATCCATAATCACCAGGTTCAGGAGTACATATATTGAGAGCTGAACAAAATTGGTGAGATCAATATTATGGCTGAAATGGTAAGCCTTGGTCGAAACAATTTTTATTTCAGATTTAATTTTAATGTGTGTAAGAGTACTTAAGTACATCTAGAAGAACACATAAACACCAGAAAGTGAACTTGAAAAACCAGGGTTGGCAAAAACCATTGGTAAAAAACAAAGGGGGGGGGGCTGGTTTCAATGCTATTATGTTGGTTTTAATAAGTTTTAAGTATTATTTGTATTTCCTTTTATAATTGTTTATTATATTATTAATTGTAAACATCACATTCAGGACGGTTTAGCAATCATTTATACTCTTTTCCATCTCAAAAAATTACTGTGTAAAGCCCAAATTTGATAAAACAGAAGTTTGGATCAGTCATCTAGACTCATCCTACATGCTTATTATCACCACTTTCACCAGTGTATAGTAATACAGTGGTCCCTCGGTTAACGAGCACAATCCGTTCCAGCAGGTTGCTCGTTAACTGAAACCATTGTTTCAATGGGTTTTTGGGTAATTGGTTCCAGCTCACCAAAAATTGCCTAAATTCAACAAAAAAGGTAGAAAAGTACACTTACTTTGAGGTGTGAATGTAGAAGGCTCCTGGATGATGATGATGATGGGAATTAAAATGGGGGTGGAGGAGAAGGGAGAAGAGAAGGCATTGGGGTGGAAGAGAAGTCACCCCTTGGTGCCATTTCACCC